AGCAGTGCCGTGCACCCCTTATGCCCCCCGCCGACCACCTCTTGTTTCCCCAGCCGACCACCTCTTGTTTCCCCAGCCAAGTCGTGCACCCCCTGTTCCTGTATTGTCCCGCCGCACAACCGACCCGTGCGCCCCCCATTCCGCGCTGCATGTAATGGCCCCTTTACCCCTATTCCCATAGTTCTGCGCTGCATGCAACCACCCCCGTCGCCCGCTGCACACAATTTCCCCTGCACGCACCCCTAGTTCTCCGCGCCGCGTACACCCTTATTCCTCGTTGCATGCAACCGCCCCTTCTAGTCCCTATTTCCCTCGCTGGGTGCCACCGCGCTGTGCACCCCCCATTGTCCCGTCCCGTCAGCCTCCCCTGCACCTTCTGTTCCCATCTATGTTCAGCTTCTCCATGCACCCTTAGTCCCTTTGCCCTCAACCTGCTCTACACCCTCTATTCCCCTTAGTATACATCTGCACACCACACCCCCGTTCCCCTCACGTGGAGCTGTCCCGTTTGTTCCCATTCCCTTATGCACCCTGTTTCCTCTGTGTGTAAAACAACGTGCATTTCCCTTCCCTCCTGCACCCTTGTTCCCCTCTACATTTGCCCCCCAGCTCCCTCCCTGGCACCTCTCCCCCTGTGCATCACCTCACTTCCTCCTGCATGTAGCACTGTACAGGGATTCCTATTTCTCTTCTGTGCGGAGCTCCATTTCCCTCTGTGCAAATCCTTGGAAACTCACGTGTTTCTTTGGAGTATCCCCCCATATCCCTCTGCACATGACCCCCTCGCTTCCCTAGTGTTGCTCTGCTTGTTAGTTCCTCAGCCCTCTGTGCGTGCACCCGCTCCCTGTTTCTTTGCACACACGCCATGCCTCCGCTTGCACTTCTTCCCTCCCGTACAGCACATGTCTGTTGCACATGTCCCAGGGTCCTACCCCTCCCTGCTGCACCCCTGCACCGGGCACTGCCTCCTGGCTGCACTCTTGCCCTGTTTTATGCGTGCCATGCCCCCTCCTGGCTGCACTCTTGCCCATTGCATGTGTGCCACACCCCCTCCTGGCTGCACTCCTGGCCTGGCGCACACATGCCACGCCCCCCTCACTCTGCTACACTCCCGGGCCCTGTGCGCACACACCACGCCTCTCCCTTCTGCTGCACTCCTGCCCTCGTGCACACATGCCACGCCCCCCTCCTGCACCACCTCTGTTCCTGGAGCTTTAGAACACACACCACACCCTGGTCTCTGCCCTCTGTGTGCATTTTACGCTTCCGTCCATGACTCTTCGTATGCCTTCCAGACCCATTCCAGGTCATCTGTGTGCATGTCCATCCCTTGTACCCCACTGCCCAATTCTGCATGCACTTCAGCGCCTTCCCCAATCCTCTGGCATGCAGGCCACGCCTTCTCTCATATTTTTCTGTTTGCCAGTTTGCAGGCATGCCACACCCCCGTTCTGACATGCCACGCCCCCTTCTGTTCTCTCTCCTGAAAGATTGCCACACTCTTGCGCTACCCCATTGCCTGCATTCCACAATCCGCCTTACAGCCCGTCCCCCGTGCCACTTTGCATGCCCCTCACATTCCCATCCTTGCCCTTTTGCAAGCGTGCCACAGCCCCTGCTGAAGACTCATCCCTGCCCCTTTGCAGTCATGTGCTGAGGGTATCAGATGGGAGTTTGCCAGCTGTAGGCTTGGTTTTGAGAAAGTAGCAAATCTCCACCTTTTCCTTCCCAGACTCTGTTACCGTAACCCCTTAGAGCCGGCTCTCTTTCTCAAATGCTAGCAGATGGCTGGTGTTGGTTGAGGGGCCTTCTTAGGGTGGTGGGCTGCTGCTGTGTTAGGGACAACCTGGTGTATGTGTAGGAGTCTGTGTGTTTGTATAATATATCTTTACTGCCCAATTAAAAATTCTTTCTCCTCAAAATCCCTATCTCCTCCTTGAACTCAGCAGCAACGCAGACACCCACACCAGAGTGAAATGGGCAAGAGCACCACCCCCCACCAAGGCCCAACGGGAGGGCCAGAGACCCCTACCCACCCTAAATTAAGGCCATAGGAAAAATGCAGCAGTATGAAATGCCAAGTCTGAAGTTTTCTGAAACCTCTGTGCATGAGATGGGTGGAGATGAGACTTGTCATAGTTGTTGTCAGCTTAGCCCCAGTTTTAACAGGGCTGTCTGGCATCCTCCAAGCTGGGACAGTAAAAAGTGTTTCCGATCAGAAGGATCCCAACAGTATTTCAAAGACCATGAATGAATACAGGCCGCGTGGCTAAAATGCAGCCACCTCTGAGATGGAGGGCAGCAGGCAACAAAGCAGGTTTTGAATATAGGCCCCAAATCTTGCAACTGGCTCTGGGTGGACATCCACGACCCATGCAACAAATTGCAGGATTGGGGCCATAGTCTATAAAGTGCTTTCTGAGCCTTCTGGAGGAAAGGCACTGTATGAATGTGAGTTAGAGGAGTTAAGGAGACAGAAGTTATATATATCTTTCAGTTGGTCATAGTACCATTTCACTTTTGGCACCCTTATTCATGTTGAGTAACGTTTTACACCATGAGTAGTTCCATTGACTTCAGTGCAGTAAGATTCTGTGTCATGTGAGCTAGGCTTTAATGTGTGCTAATTGATATTTCCAAGATGATGAAACCTACAAACTTCTGTTTTTAAGAAACCGGGCAGTAGTCTAGTTTGTAAACTCTCCGGGGCAGGGACTGCGGCTCTGTAATGTGCTTATACAGTACCTTGCTCAGTACGGGAGGGGCTTCTAGTCACTTCTGCGATACAAATGCTAATAGCAAAATTACTTTTCCGCTACATTTGGGTGCCCTGACTAGGGAGCATTAGTGGTTAGAATGTGGAACTGGGGGTCTAGTCCCATCTCTGCTGTGATTTGCTGTGTGAATTTGGGCAAAGTGCTTCACCACTGTGCCTCGGTTTCCCCATTTGTAAAATTGAGTGACTGATACTTCACCTTCTCTGTAAAGAGTTTTCAGACCCTAGTTAAGCATCTAAACATTGCTGTTATTTATTAGTATATGAATCCAGTGTGGAAAGGCTGAAGACGGACATCTTCCCCACTGCTTGTTTAAAGCCGAACGTTGACAATTGCCTCCAAAGTGTATGCTCAATGTTCAAGAAATAATTCTGGATCTCTGCTGATTCTCACCTGTGTGAAGTGTGATTGCTAGCAGCTGATAGGCGCTGTGTGCATTCATAGGCAGTGTTCCTACAGGTCAGAGTCTAAGTGGTGGGCATCCAAGCAGAAGACACTGCGTTCCTAGTTCTGCCATTAGCTTGCTTTGTAACTGGGGGCCGGTCAGAGAGAAATTATATGTCTCTGTTTTTTCATCTGGAATATGGGGATAATGACCCCCACCTTGGTAAATTGCAGTTGCGGTATGTAAGAGGTAGGGTCTTTCAAATGCCGTTGTTTAGCCTCACTTTTTTTGGAGCCGTGTTCATGACTCTCCAGCACAAACCTGAACATTTCCCCTCTCAGAAGGGTTCTTGTTTCCTAGCATCTCAGCTGAGCTGCCACCAGAAGCTTTCACATGGGTTTCCCCCTTGTTCTTCTAAGCGGGGTGTGGCTCTTGGCAGACTTCACAGCGGTCGATCCTAATACCTTCTCCACTCACCCTGTAGCATTCAGCTGAAGCCCCTCAGCAGTCATCTTTTCAGCTGAGTAGCTGTGTTAGCATGTAAACTTCATAATCACAGGCCACGCAGTATGGGACATGGGGTTGAAACAAGAGCCACGTTTCAACGTACAGGGTCTACTGAAAGCAGATGTGGCGCTGGCGTTCCTGAGATCCCTACTCTTAAACTCTTTTTGCAAGTCAAAAATACCCCAAGCCCCTCTTCTGCATCAGAGCCAGGTGCTGCACTGAAAAAATAGCTCAAGTTAAGGGAACCTTGCAGTCCTGTTGGTTTCAGGAGTTGTTTGTTTGCATAGGGGAAATGAGCGGGACCT